TATATATATATATATATATATATATATATATATATATATATATAGATTATTTATTACTAATATACTGTAGTTATATTTATATAGAGCAAGAGGGAAAAAAAAAGCTACAAAAGGATAAATATATTTATATAAATCTGAGTCGCGCTTAATTCTTTTAATTAATACTAATAAAAAATTAAAAAGTAAAAAATAATTTAAATAAATTAAAATAAATAAATAAAATATTTAATTAAAAACAAGAAATAGCACCGCATGGTTTCGATCCATGGACCTTATTAAAGTTTATTTAAACTATTTATTTTTTACTTTTTATTAGTATTAATTTTTTTAATTAATAAAAATTATTTTATTTATTTATTTTAATTTATCTAAATTATAAAAAAAAGAAATAGCACCGCATGGTTTCGATCCATGAACCTTATTTACATCTTAATTTTTTAGGATTAATTTTTTTTAATAAATACTAATAAAAAATAAAAAAAAACAAATAATAATTTAAATAAATTAAAATAAATAAATAAAATATTTAATTAAAAAACAAGAAATAGCACCGCATGGTTTCGATCCATGGACCTTATTTAAATCTATTTATTTACATCTTAATTTTTTAGGATTAATTTTTTAAATTAATATTAATAAAATATTAAAAAGTAAATAATAATTTAAATAAATTAAAATAAATAAATAAAATATTTAATTAAAAAACAAGAAATAGCACCGCATGGTTTCGATCCATGGACCTGGGGGTTATGAGCCCCCCACTCTCCCACTGAGCTACGGTGCTGTGCGGTGAGGTGTGGGTGTAGCGCTGCTATTTTGTTTTCTTTTTTATTAAAAAAGAGTTTAAAATATTTAAAAGTAATTGTTTTCCGGTGAAAATAATAAAATATTTAAATTTAGCGGGTAAATAAACCCCTATTTACACACCGGCTTCATATGCTGGGGTGTACATGCAGCTCGGACTGGTGCTCTGGTGGTGGTATGCATACACAGAGAGCTAGCTGTGTTGCTGGTGTATGAAAGCGTGTAATTATATATTATTTATTAATTTATTTATTTATTTATTTATTTATTTATTTCTTTTTATTTTCTACTTTTATCTCTCTCCATATACACAAGCCCCACTGAAGGCCCCCGATACAGCATAGCGAGCGAGGCTTCCCTCGCAGCCCTTCTTTCTCTTCTTCTTTGTGAGCTCAAGACAGCTGTTTTTTTCGTTTTTCTTTTAAAAAAAAATATTATTATAGATGCTGCAGTTGCCCCTATTACCTCCAACAGCAGCAGCAACACCAGCAGCAGCAGCAGCAACCATAGAAACAGCAGCACAGCAGAGCCCCTGGTTTAGCTGCTAAGCAACAGAGACAAAAACAAAAAAAAAATAAATTTAATTTTTATTTTGTTTTTTATTTTGCTGCTTGTTGGGGTGTAACTGCAGCTCAAAGGAATACAGCGGCGACTATATATAGTCTGTTGCTTCATCTGTCTCTCTGTCTCCTTCTGTAATATATATAAATATATATATAATATAAAGATATATATATATATATATATTTATATATTTATATTTATATATTTATATGTATATATTTATATATTTATATATATGTATACATATACACACTTTGCCTTATAATCTACTCACCATAGAGAAAGATAAAGAGATCTGCTGCTTCTTCTTTCTTCATTACCCCCCGAGGGCTCCTGCATCCGCAGTTGTTGCTTGCTGCTGCTGCTGCTGCTGCTGCTGCTGTTGCTGCTGTTGCTGCTGCTGCAGCATAAGCAGATATGAGAGAGCATGCAGCCAGGGAGAGCCGTTATAGAGATGGGGGGGCCGCAGCAGAAGTGCAGTGATGCAGCAGCAGACACAGACAGAGACTGCGCTCAACCAGCAGCAGCAGCAGCAGCAGCAGCAGCACCAACAGCAGCAGCATCATCAACAGCACCATCAGCAGGAGCAGCCCCATCTGAAGCAGCAGCAGCAGCAGCAGCAGCAGCAGCATCAACAGCAGCAGCAGCACAACCCTGCTGCCCCTCCTCTTCCTCCTTAGCATCACCATCAGCAGCATCAGCAGCACCATCAGCAGCATCAGCAGCACCATCAGCAGCATCATCATCAGCAGCAGCAGCAGCACCATCAGCAGCAGCAGCACCATCAGCAGCAGCAGCAGGAGGAGGGGGAGCAGCAGCAAAGACAATAAGTGTATTATATGAAAACATTCGTGATTTATGTTGGGGGAATGAAAAGAGAGAAAGCTGCGGTGTATATGCAGCTTATAACCCTACAGAGAAGAACTTTGCGCGTATACAAAAAATATTAAAAAGAATAAAACATGTAAATGAAGGAGACAATATAAATATAATATTAAATGAAATAAAAACTATTAATTTATCTTTATTTATAGAAGAAGCAGCAGCAGCTCTTGCTGCTGCTGCATGCAAGCCTGCTGCTGCACGAGCAGCAGCAGAACTCGTTCTTTATTTAGGAGGCCTCTATACAGACTTCATTCCTTTGTTTGTCTCCGCTCTAACCGACACCATCA